CTCCGCCTTCCAGCCCCGCCCCAAGGAGCCTCGGAGCCTCGGAGCCGCGGGTTCGCGTCCCGCCGCGGGCGGTTGTTGGTGGGGGGCGGCACTGACTGCCCGGTGCCCCCAGAACATCCCAGGGACACCCCTTAAAATGCCTCTGCAGCGTCCCCACAGCCCCCCTGCGCCACCACGGGATCTTCTGGCAGCGTAGAGCATCTCCCCATATATAGCACTTCCCACAGCACCCCCCTAGATCACCTCCCCACCGCGTCCCCCCATGCTGTCCCCTCTAGAAGTCTCCCCCCCCGAGCATCTGCATCCCGTCGGGGCTGGGTGCTGGAGGCTTCACCGCCTTTCTCGGGGGCCCGGAGCCTCCTGGAGGGGGTGGGTGGTGCCTCACTGGGGTGATGAGCTTGGCAGGTCTCAGGAGGGGGGTGGGAAGCAGCTCTGGGCATCCTGCCCCGCATCCCCGCTGCCCTATTCAGCGATGGCCAGGGAACCGGCGCTAATTGGCACCAGAGCTGAAACCCAGCCTGGGTATGGCCAGGACTTCGTTTTAAAGCCTGGGAAGAGGAAAAAAAATATAAAATAGGAGGGGGAACTCCTTTTGGTGGGGGGGGAGGTGGAAAGGGGGGGGGCAGTGCAGCTTTTCCAAATGCCCCCCTAAAAATAAACCCCTCAATTCAACGGGAACTCCAAATCCCATGGGATTGTCCCCGGAGGGGATGGCAAACCTCAGCCGGCCTCAATGGGGTGACGGCCCTGACCTCCAGCATCACCCCGGGCTGGGGGAAACGTGGAAAAGGAGGGGGAAAAATCGCAAATCGGAATGTTTTTTCCCCAAATAAATGTCAGCTCGAGGCCGCTAGGGAGGCCAAAGCCGCTGGGACACAGGGCTCTATTGAGAAAGGAAAGAACAACATAAAAAAAAAGGGAAAAAAAAAAATAAATGAGCCGGGCAGAAGGCCAAGCCGGGAGCGCCGAGGGACGTGCCCGGAGTGGGGAAGCGGAGCGATTCGGGGGGCGAGCCTGCCCGAAATGTGGGGAGCGCCGGCCGCCCCGCGGGGCCACCCCGCTCCCCCCTGCTTGCTGCAGGTGGCCTGGCTCCTGGCGCTGCACGCAGGTAGGGGGGGTTGCCTGTTTTACAAGGGTTTTCCCCGTTTTTTCCAGGGGGTTCGGGGGTATCCAGCTGGAGGATGGGGGTGGGGGAGTGTGATGGATAAAGGGAGGGCTTGAAGGGGGGGTCGCTGCACCGTCAGGCATCCCTTCTCTTGGGAGAGGAAAAATAAAAGGGAAAATTTGGAATAAAAACTGGGAAAAACACTTTTCCAGAGCCAAGTGGGTTCTGCTGGGGCGGGGGGAGGAGTGGATCCGGCACTGGCACCCCCTGAGCTTCTCCCCAGGTTTTCAGCTTCCCTAAAAACCCCTTTTTTACTCGTTTTTCAGCATCCTGAAATCTATTTTCTTACCCATCCTTCAGCTTTCCCAAAAAAAACCCTTTTTCACCCCGTTTCTAAATTCAGTCCTGTTCACCCCGTCCCGCTGCGACCCCAGTTTATTTATTCCCCGAATACCCACATATGGGGGTTCAACCAACCTCCAAACCTCCCCATCTGGCAATGCGGGAAAATCACTTTCAATCATTTTGCACTGTTTTACCAAAGTTTGGACCCAAAACCAGCCCCGAGGAAGCCCCATTTCCCTCTCGATGAGCCAAGGATGCAAAGCCAGTTATCTTTGATTTGCGCCCCAAAAAAGCACCTGGGTTGCACCTATGGGCCCCCCCAAAAATGCTGCTGCACTCTTTTCCAAAGAAATAGGGACTTATTCCACAAAATAGGGGGAAAATGAGGATTTCAAGTGGTGTTTTTTCAGCAAGGAGGGGTGGGTGATCTCCATCCCTAAACCATGGATGCTGTAGAATATGGGAATATTGCATGATTTATTAATTAACTCCCAAATTTATTACCCAGAGTGGAAAAAAAAAATTAACAATTCGGTTCAAAAAGGGAGGAACCAGTTAAAAAGCAGCATTTTGGGGATGCTTGGGGTGCAAGGATGCATTAAAATCCATGTTCCCACCCTGTGCTTGGCTTTTCCCCGATAGGATTCCAATAAATTTTTGTGGTCAGGGCATGTTTTTGGCGCCGAGCTCCGTGGTGCTTGGGAGGACGGAGGGATGGATGCTGCATACCAATAGGTCCCATGACTTTTTGGGCTTGTTTAAAGCCTTTCTTGCTCCTGCTTCGCCCTCCCCAGCTGCTTTTCCCACTCTTCCCCCCTCCCCTTCACTTCAATATGGGGTTTGTTCGCCATCGCATGACGGCATCCGGGTGGGGGGTTGTGGGTGAGACTCCTGGGATGGCAAGGGGGAGGGGGTGAGGCTACGGTATTTTGGGGAGAGAGGCTGTTTTGGGGGTCCCCTGCAAAAAAAACCCAAAAAACAACCCCCACACCATTTTTTTCCACTTTTCCCTGCCTCTTTTGGCTTAAAACCAGCGCTGAGGAGCAATGCGCATGCACCGACCCCCATGACACAGTTTTGCACCTTTGGGGGGGTGTTTGGCTGCACTGGAGCATCCAGCGGGGCTGGGGGTGGGATGCAAAAATCCACACCCCACCCCCACCGTGAGGGCCAGTTTTTGGGGCAATACATGTATTTTTTCCAAGCACTCCATCAGTTTGCTTGCAGGAGCGTTCCCACCCTCCCATGCAATTTTGGGGGGCAATGGGTGCATTTTTGCTGAGGATTACATCATCCTGGCCCTGGGGGGGGGGGCTCCCACTCCTTGCACAGTTTTTGGGGTCAATATATGCATTTTTGAGAGAGTGACATTGATCCAGCTGCAGGAGGGTCTTGCCAAACCCCCCCCCCCCCATATTTTTGGGGGTGATGCGTACACCTTTGCAGAGAGTTTTACCAACCTGGCTGCAGAAGAGCTCCCACCCTCCCATGCAGTTTTTGGGGCAATTTATGCATCTCTGCAAAGACTTGCATCCACCAGGTCGCAGGAGGGCTCCCACCATCGGTGCAGGTTTTGGGGTGACGCGTGCTTTTCTGCAAAGCATTTGCATTGACCCAGATGCAGGAGAGCTCCTGGCCCCCGTCCACTTTTTTGGGGTGATGCGTGTGTTTTTGCAGAGGGTTGCATCAGCCTGGCTGCAGGAGGGCTCCCATCGTCGATGCAGGTTTGGGGGTGACCCATGCATTTTTGCAAAGGGTTGGATTGACCCACCTCCCATGCCTGATGCACTTTTGGGGATGACGCATGCATTTTTCAAAGGGTTGCATCAACCTGGATGATGAACCCCCATCCCCCTCGATGCAGTTTTGGGGGTGATGCATGCATCTTTGCAAAGGATTATGCAAACCACCCGCTTACATGAGGGTTGGGCATCCCAGCGCCCGTGACACATTCCAGGGGCTCTCAGCACCGCTCTGGGAGAAGGTCCCCCATTTTTCTCTGGGCTCAAAGGACCAGGCAGCCTGGCCGGACTTGGCACCCCACCTTTTCTCCCCACCCCAAGGTCTGCTGGCGGGGGTGAACATCACCAGCCCCACACCACTGGTCCGCGGCACAGCAGGCAAAGCGGCGCTGCTGTCGGTGCGCTACGCCAGCGCCAGCGCCGACAAGCCAGTGGTCAAGTGGCAGCTGAAGCGTGACAAGCCCATCACCGTCGTCCAGTCCATTGGCACCGAGATCATTGGCAACCTGCGGCCCGACTACCGCGACCGCATCCGGGTGCTGGAGAATGGCTCGCTGCTCATCAACCCCCTGCAGTTGGCTGACGAAGGTGCTTACGAGGTGGAGGTGTCCATCACCGACGACACTTTCACTGGCGAAAAGACCATCAACCTCACTGTGGACAGTAAGTGCACAAAGGACATTCAGTGGAGACTGGATTCTCCATGAGACATCTTCCCTGACCACTTTTTGGGAGGGATTTCTCCAACCGGGAGGTGTTTTTTGGGAGTTCAACCAGCCCATGCTGCCAAGCTATGTCCCTGGTGGGGTTTTGATGTCCCCTTTCCCATCCCCTGGGCCCATCCATCCCATGAGACATGGTGTCACCCTGGTTCCCCTACTTGCCTGCAGTCCCCATCTCGAAGCCGCAAGTGCTGGTGGCCTCCTCAACTGTGCTAGAACTCAGCGAGTTCTTCACCCTCAACTGCTCGCATGAGAACGGCACCAAGCCCACCTACACCTGGCTGAAGGACGGGCGGCCACTGAGCAACGATTCCCGCCTGCTCCTCTCTCCTGACCAGAAGATCCTCACCATCACTCGTGTCCTCATGGCAGATGACGATGTCTACAGCTGCTTGGTGGAGAACCCCATCAGCCATGGCCGTAGCATCCCCGTGAAGCTCACCGTCTACCGTAAGCCACTCATTCTCCCCTCCCACACCCCCAAGCTGGCCATCCCTTTCAGATGCTCCCAGCAAAATTTGGAGTCTGAGTCACCCCTTATTGCTCTCCCCCAGGCCGGAGTTCCCTCTACATCATCCTCTCCACAGGCGGCATCTTCCTCCTTGTCACCCTGGTGACCGTTTGTGCCTGCTGGAAACCCTCCAAGAAGTATGGCTGGGGGTAACGCAGGAGCCAAAGGGGGTTCCTCTTATCCTGTCCTGTCTCATCCTGTCCCCTCTCATCTTGTCTCATCTCGTCTCATCTCATCCCGTCTCATCTTGTCCCATCCCATCCCATCCCGACTCGCCCCCTCCTGTCCTGTCCCGTCCCATTTATCTTATCCTATTTTCTTTCATCCCATCTTGTCTCATCTCATCTCACCCCATCTCACCTTGATCCATCTCTGTTATCCCATCCCATCCCATCCCATCCCATCCCATCCCATCCCATCCCATGCCACCTTGTCTCATCTCTTCCTGTCCCATCCCATCCCATCCCATCTTGCCTTGACCCATCTGTCCTGTCCCTGCCCCATCCCCATCCTATCCCACCACACCCCATCCCATCTTGTCCCATCTCATCCTATCCCACTCTGTCTCACCTCACCCCATCCCACCCTACCCCATCCCACCCTATGCCGTCCCTCCCTCACCACAGCACTGTGCCCTTTCCTGGCTGAACCACGGGCCGTTCCCTGCACCGCGGTGCTGGCACTGCCCCACCTCTCCCCCTTCCCCAGGGAGAAGCGACAAGCGGAGACACAACCGGCCTCCGAATACGCTGAGCAGGACGAGGAGCGCCTGAAGCACGAGGGTGAGTGCCGTCCCCAGCGTGGCGGTGGCGGGTTGGGGAAGGCCAGCGCCACCGGTGCGGTAAGCGACGCCTTGCCTCCACGCAGCCGAGGGCATCCCGCGGAGCGGCGAGCATGAGCGCAAAAACCCGGTGGCCCTGTACATCCTCAAGGACAAGGTGAGCAGCCGGCGGCGTGTTGGCGGTGCACCAGCTTCGCACCATGGCGCCGGGTCTCGCACCCTTCGCACGCCCGTCCGCCCTTGGCTTTTTGGCAGGACTCACCGGAGGCGGAGGAGGATTCATCACCCGAACCCCGTGGTGCGGTTGAACCGGCCTACACCAGCTCACCCATCCCAGCGGCCGGCCGCTCGCCAGGACCGGTGGGGCGTTCGACTCGTCGGTACCATCGGTCGCCGGCCCGCTCACCCGCCTCCACGCGCACGCACAGGTCACCGCCAGGGTCGCCGGTGCGGTCCCGGGGAGCCCCGCGGCTGCTGCGAACTGCTGGCGTCCACGTCATCCGGGAGCAGGAGGAGGCCAACGCCGTGGAGATCAGCGCCTGAGCGGGGGGGGACACGTGCGCGCTGGGGGGGCGGCAAGTGAGTGGGGACGCTGGTACAGCCCCGCTCCCGCCTCTGGGCATCATCGTTTGGCTGGGCGTAAAGTCACTAATTTGCTATTGATCCCACCCGGAGCTCCCCTCTTCCGTCCCCCCCGACTCCCTGGGGTGTCGCTTGGATGACTTTCTCACCGGGACGTGGGTGCAGGGAGCGTGTCGGAAGCACATGCGCTTGCTGGGAGCGTGCAAGGGGGCATGTACAGAGCGTGCGTGGAGTGTGCAGACGGAGGGTGCACACGGAGCGTGCAGGCAAAGCATACACTTAGTATGCAGGGAGAGCGTGCAAGGGGGCAGGCACAGAGCATGCAGAGACAGCGTGGAGAAAGCGTGGAGGGAGTGTGCAAGACAGTGTGCAGAGAAAGCGTGCACAGCGTGTGCAGACTGAGCGTGCAGAGAGCGCGTACGTGGAACACGCAAGAGGGCATGCGGGGAACATGCAGAGAAAGTGTGCACACAGTGCACAGAGAAAGCGTGTGTGGAGCGTGCAAGAGGACATGTGGAGGGAGCTCACACAGAGGGTGCCAACGCAGCATGCAGGGAGCGTGCAGAGAGCGTGCACAGGGAGGGTTTGCACAGAACACACAAGAGGGCATGTGTGCACTGGAGAGTGTCCACAGCGTGTGTGGGGAAGTCACGCAGAGCATGCACGAAGTGTGTGGAGGGAGCGTGCATGGAGCGTGTAAGACCGAGCGTGCCCCAAGCATACAAGAGGACATGCACAGTGCATGTGGGCAGAGCATGCCAGGGGCATGCAGAGAGAGTGTGACAAAGGGTGCAAGGCATGCACAAAGGTGTGCAGAGAGAGCACACACAGAGCGTGCAGGAGAGAGCACGAGGAGACAACATGCACAGTGTGTGGAGAGAGCACGCGCGGGGCGTGCGGCCAAGACCGCAGGGACTGTGTGGAGAGAGAGCACACACGGAGCACGTGCAGACAGTCTGCACAGAGTGTGCAGAGTGTGTGTGCACGGAGCATGCAGAGAGCACAAGTGTGCAGGGAGAGTCTGTACGGAGCGTGCGTGGAGCGTGTGGAGAGCACACACTTGCAGTGTTCGCACCGAGCGTGCGGAAGAAGCATGCACGGAGCACGTGAGAAGAGCCTGTGGGGACCGTGCAGCTGAGACCACATGTGGAGCACGCGTGAGCACGCTGGGAGCACGCCGAGCGAGCACACCCACACCTGGGCCGTGCAGCAGCGCCGTGACCCACCCTTCCATGGCATGTGGACCCCCGTGCGCGGGTGCCCAGCGCTGCGCAGAGCCGGGGCACACTCACGCTCACGCTCAGCCAAGCGCCCATGCACACAGGCGGCCTGAATGGGGGGCTCACTCCTCCCCCCCCAGCCCAGCTCCCTGGCTGCACCATCCCCTAAACATGGGCTCCAGCCCCCGGCCCAAGCGCTAGCCCTCTGCTGTGCCTGGATTTTCTGGGAAAATCCCTGGTTTTGGGGCGCGCACCCGTCTCCTCTCCCCCAGGCCTTCCCGGGAAATAGGTTTAGGATGAAAACCGGAGAGCCGGGCCCCGGGGCACCAGGGTGGGTGCCGGGGCACCCCGGGGCACGCTACTAACCAATAAACTAAACATGCTACCCGGCCGGCGGCAGCACCCTTGGGTGTCTTTGTGGGTGCCCCCAAGGGGTGGTGGGGGGAGGATATCAGAGATGGGTCACAGCTGAGACCGGACAAGCTCAATGCACCTGGCTGGCACCTGAATTTCAGGAGACCCTGGAGCGTTCACTCTGGCCCCTACTGATGGTGTCCCCAGCTGAGAGCTTGTTTTGTCTTTACTCATCTTCCTTTGAGTATGGCAGGGGATGGGGGGGGTGCGCGTGTGGAATTTCTTCTAATTAAACTCATTAAATGCCAGTGTCCCCAACCCTGCTGCCTCCAGGTGCTGCCCGTGCCACCGCAACTGGGCTCTCCCACCGCCGTGGCTTTGCTGAGCTGTTTGTGTCCATCTCTTCCCCCCCGGTGCTTCCCGGCCCCCACGTCCGGCTATTGTCACCCTCCATCCGGAGCCGGAGCCAGCCCCGGTGCCGGCAGGGAGGGACTGGGATTTCGGGAGGAAGCAGGAAGGCTGGCCAGAGCCAGCATGGCGGGCGGCTGGGTAATGGCACTGGGATTGGGGCTCTGCCTCGCTGCGCTGCCCCGAGGAGGTGAGTCCAGTCCCCTGGGGGGAAGGGGAGGCACAAAATACCCTTAACTCTGTCCCTCACCCCCCCACTGGGGCTGAGACCATGCCTGCTCAGTGCACCCACCGTCCTCCGTGTCACCCCACAGGCTGTCACACCCCCGGCACAGCCGCAGCACCCCAAACCGCAGCTGGTAAGGACACCCCACGGGGATTACATGGGTGGGGGGGGACCCCAAAAAAATCCTGTCCTTCCTCCCTCCACCCACAGTGTCCCCTCCCCACCACAGTGCTGCGAGACAATTTCCGCCTGCAGCCAGGGGATTTGGTGGCCACTGTGGGGCAAGTGTTGGAGCTGGATTGTGTCCCCCCCTGGGGGCACCCTGAACCCCGCGTCACCTGGAAGAAGGATGGGGTGACCTTGGACTTGATGGGTGACCGGTACGTGGTCACCAACGGGAAGTTGCGGGTGGCACCAGCGCGGCGGAGCGACTCCGGGATCTACGTCTGCGTGGCGGCCAACGCGGCGGGCGAGAGGGAGAGCCGGGGCGCCCGCGTCTCTGTTCTGGGTAAGCCAAGGGTGTCCCACGGGTGGGGAATGTGTCACACCTGGTCCTGATGCCACATCTTCAATGTCCCCCCCAGAGAAGCCGACCATTGTGCGACGCCCAAGCGACGCCGTGGCGGTGGCTGGCAGCACCGTGGAGCTGGGCTGCGGTGCCCAGGGTGACCCAGCACCACGGGTGCAGTGGCACAAGGAACGTGGAGACCTGCCCTGGGGCAGGTAGGTGGTGGCAGGGTGGAGGTGTCCCATCCCCAGGGTGGGGTGATGATGAGGCTGACGGAGACCTGGTGACCCACAGGCATGAGGTGGATCGGGAGAACACGTTGCGCCTCTACGCTGTGACACCGACCGATGCTGGCACATACGTGTGCACGGCGCAGAGTCAGCTGGGCACCGCCGCCGCCACCGCCCACCTCCGCGTGGACAGTGAGTGGTAGGACCCCTGTGGCCTCCACTGCCACAGGGACCCAGAGTCATCTGGAGGCCCATCCAAAGGGAGCCATCTAACAGGGTCCATCTAATGGGGTTCATACAAGGAGGTCACCCAAGAGGAGTCTGTCCAAGAGAGGTCTATTTAAGGGGGATTGTCCATGGTGGGAGGTCTATTAACAGAGGATCCAACAAGAGGCATCCATCCAAAAGGTCCATCTAAGAAGGACGCATCAATGGGAGTCTATCATGGCATCCATCAAAGGAAGTCCATCCAAGATAGATTCATCTAAGGGTGTCTGTCCAAGGGGATCCATCCAAGACATGTCCATCCAAAGGGTCCATTTGAGTGTGTCTTCCCAAGGAGACTTCAGGGTCTTCAAACATGGGTATCTGGGCTGGGTGGCTGAGTGACCTTGCTCCTGCCCAGTGCTGCCGTTATCTTTCCTCTGCCCCGTAGACCGCTTGCCAACGGGCCGGTGGGAAGCTGTGCCACGGGACCTGCTGGCCGTGCGGCTGCACCTGGACAACGGCACTGCACTGCCCACTGCCGCCGTCCAGCTCCGCTGGCGGGTTGGTGTGATGTCAGGATGTCCCCACCAGAGGGGTGGGATGGGACACAGGGATGAGGCTGGAGCTCCATCCCTCTGTCCCATCTGTGTCTCGTCGTGCCACATAACCCTTCACATCCCCTCCAGATGCTGACGCCGGCACCGGCACCAGAGGGCTACATGGTGCTGTACCGTTGCCTGCTCCCTGCCACCACCTCCTGGACCCAGCACAACGCTGGCAGGGAGCTCAGCACCATCATCCCTGCGCTCCGCAGGGGCTACAAGTATGAGTTCAAGGTCCAACCCTACGCTGGAGGAACCCAGGGCTTGGACAGCAACAGCAGGCACCTCTGGATACCTGAGGAAGGTGAGCTGGGCGTGAGGTGGTCCCAGGGATGCCCATCTGGAGGATGGGGAGGTCGGTTGGGGGTTTCAGGGGTCTCAGCACCTCCATCCCGGCAGTGCCAAGCGCAGCACCCCAGCACGTCACCGTGGGCCAGGCTGAGACGGGGAACGGCACTGTGGTCGTGAGCTGGGAGCCACCTCCTCCTGAGGCCCACAATGGCATCATCCGGGGTTACAAGGTTTGGAGTGGCGAGGCATGGGGGGCTTGGGGGATTCTGGCCAAGGAGTGTCTCCATCCAAGGCACCTGTCTAAGGGGGATCCAACCAAGAAAGGAGCCTATCAAAGGCAGGGGTCTATCCAAGGGTAGCCTTCCATGGAATGTCTGTCCAGGGGGAAATCCATCCAAGGGGTCCATCCAAGAGGGATCTCGCTAAGGAAGTTTGTTCAAGGGGGTCACCCGAGGTAGAGTCCATCCCGGGAGATCCATCTACAGGAAGAGTCCATCCAAGGGGCCAAATTAAGGAAGGAGGTCATCCAAGGGGTCCATCCAATGGGGTTTGACCTAGGGTATTCATCTATGAGGTCTGTCCAAGAGGGATCCATCAATGGGGGCCCATCAAGGGGATTCATCTAAGAGGGCCCATCCAAGGGGATCCATGCAAAGGGATCCATCCAAAAGAGATTCATCAATGTGGGTACATCAAGGGGATCCATCTAAGGGGGCCCATCAAGGAGATCCATCTAAGGGGGGATCAATCCTGTTGGGATCCATCAATGAGGATCCATCAAGGCAATTCATCTAAGGGGATCCATCTTCTTGGTGCCTGCCAGGTCTGGTCAATGGGAGAAGGGTGGCAACGTCCCATCAACAGGACAGTGGACGGAGGCACCCACCACCTGGAAACCTTCCTCCCAAGCACTGGGGCCGAATTCTGTGTCCAGGTGGCAGCTTTCAATGGTGCAGGGCTGGGAGTCCCCAGCAATGCCACCTGCAGCATCCTGGGTAGGAGACAGCGGGCAAGGCAGGGCACAGGGTGGGTGGAAGTGGTGGCACAGGAGTGACACTGGTGGGATTCTTGCAGGGGTGACAGCGAGGAGCACTAGAGTGGTGCAGGTGCTGCGGCAGCCTGCTGTCATTGCAGCCACTGGCTCACTGCTCTGGTTGGCCTTGCTCGCCCTCCTCCTCCTCCTCTGCCAGCGCCGTGCCAGCCAGGATGCCGCAGCTCGCCACAGGTGAGCATCTTTGGGGTGGGGGACATGGGGGATCCCCTGGGTGGTGGGGATCAGATGACCTGATGGCACCTCCCACCCCACAGGCTGGTGGCTGGTGACTCACCGTGGCTCGGTGGCCCCTGGAGACCTGGGTGTGCTCCCCACAACCTCAGCAGCAGCAGCAGCCTCAGCAGCCGGCTCCTGGGCAGCGACGGCAAGGACCCCCACCCCTCCAGTGAGCCCCATGGGGACCAGGACCCCCACTCAGTGCCATGGGACCCCCACCCCTCCAGTGAGCCCCATGGGGACCAGGACCCCCACTCAGTGCCATGGGACCCCCACCCCTCCAGTGAGCCCCATGGGGCAGAGACTCCCAATCAGAGCCATGGGCCCTCTACTCCTCCAGTGAGCCACTGGGTCAGGGACCCCCACCTGGTGTCATGGGTCCCCCACCAGTTCCATGGCATCCCTCACCCACTGCCATGGGACCCCACCCAGTGCCTAGGACCCTCACCAGGTGCTATGAGGCCAGCTAAGGGTGCCCAAGAACCCCACCTTATCCCTAGGACCCCCCTTGATGCCATGGGACCCCCACCTGGGTGCTCCCCGTTGCCGCGGGACCCACTCTGCAGGCAGCAGGGACCTGGGGACAGACAGATCTGTGGACAGAGGGGACAAGGGACACCCAGCTCAGCACCCATGGGTGCCTTGACCTCTCTCGCCTCTCCAGCCTTGTCCTTGGACCCATCAAGCCTCAGCCCCTCCACACCCCCCAAGCACAGCAGCCTCCACGGGGGGCACCCGCCGCCCCTTGGGGAGGCAGGGTGCTACATTGGGGGACACCCTGGGGTGCGCACCTCGCCCAGCACCCCAAACCCTGCACCTTGGGAGCGTGTCCACAAGAGAGGTGGGTATGAGGAGGGACACGGGGGGGCAGGAGTGGACATCAAGGGGTGGCTCACGGCTCTGTGTCCCCCTGCCCCATGCAGAGCTGCAGCAAGTACACAGCACCCCACTGCTCACGGGTGGCCCCAGCCAGGTCCCTGGGAGAGGAGGTGAGTGGGGGACGGATTTTGAGGTGGCAGCCGAGTGGCCTCAGCAAAGGGGACAGGAGGACGGTGACACCGACACCGCCGTGCTGGCCAGAGGGGACCTGCGGCAGCTGCCAGTCTTCAGCTCTCCAAAACCACGTCGGGGAAGCGACTCGCTGGCCTCTGGTGTCACTGGCTTACTGGTGACACCCCTGAGGCCACCCCACGCCTGGCACCCGCCTGTGACCCGGTGAGTCTGTGTGTCCCTACCTTGGGGACGCAGATGTGTGCCCCCCACCCCGACCCTATGCTGCAAAAGCCACTGTGTTCCTTCCACCTGCAGGTCCCCAGCCACTGCATGTCCCAGAGACACGTCCCCTGTCACCAGGCACCCCAAGGACATGTCCTCGGTCACTGGGACCCCCAGGGACACGTCCCCTGTCACCAGGCACCCCAAGGACATGTCCCTGGTCACTGCATGTCCCAGAGACACATCCCCTGTCACCAGGCACCCCAAGGACATGTCCCCGATCACTGGGACCCCCAGGGACACGTCCCCTGTCACCAGGCACCCCAAGGACATGTCCCCGGTCACTGCATGTCCCAGAGACACATCCCCTGTCACCAGGCACCCCAAGGACATGTACCCGGTCACTGGGACCCCCAGGGACATGTCCCCTGTCACCAGGCACCCCAAGGACATGTCCCCGGTCACTGGGACCCCCAGGGACATGTCCCCTTTCACCAGGCACCCCAAGGACATGTCCCCGATCACTGGGACCCCCAGGGACACGTCCCCAGTCACCAGGCGCCCCAAGGACATGTCCCTGATTACTGGGACCCCCAGGGACACGTCCCCTGTCACCAGGTGCCCCAAGGACATGTCTCCGGTCATTGGGACCCCCAGGGACATGTCACCTGTCACCAGGCACCCCAAGGACATGTCCCCAGTCACTGGGACCCCCAGGAACATGTCCCCTGTCACCAGGCGCCCCAAGGACATGGGCACCCCAGTCACTGGGACCCCCAGGGAGATGTCCCCAGTCACAAGGCGCCCCAATGACATGGGCGCCCCAGTCACTGGTATCCCCAGGGACACACCTGCAGCCACCTGGTGCCCCAGGGACACATCCTCAGTCACTAAGAGCCCCAGGGATGTGTCACCAGTCACCAGGCACCCTAGAGTCATATCCCCAGTCACCAAGTACCATGAAGACGTGTCCCCAGCCACCAGACACCCCAGGAACCTATCGGCAGCCACTAGGCACCAGAAGGACACAATCTCAGCCACCAGGCACCCTGAGGACACATCCCTGGTCACAAGGTGCTCTAGGGACATGTCCCCGGTCACCAGGCACCCCGACAAGATGTCCCCAGTCCCTGAGCACCACAGGGACACTTTTCTGGGCAGCAGGCACCCCAAGGACATGTCACCAGCCACCAGGCACCCCAAGGACACGTCCCCAGCCAGTGGGCACCCAAGGGAGAAGTCTCCAGTCACTAGGCTCCCCAAGGAGAAGTCCCAAGCCACTGTGCACTGCAGGGACAAGTTCCTGTCCACCAGGTACTTCAAGGACATGTCCCTGGCCATCAGGCACCCCTGGGAGCCATCACTGGTGACCAGGCACTGAAGAAACATGTTCCTGTCCAGCAGGTACCTTGAGGACATGTCACCAGGCACCAGGCACCACAAGGACACATCCCCAGCCACCAGGCACCCAAGGGACTCATCCCCAGTCACCAGACACCTTGAGGAGAAGTCCCCAGCCCCTGGTCACCGTACAGACACATTCTTGGGTGGCAGGTACCACAAGGACATGTCCCTGGTCACCAGGCACCGCAGGGACACATCACTGGTGACCAGACACTCAAGAGATATGTTTCTGGCCATCAGGTACCCCAAGGACACACCCACCACCACCAGGCACCCCAGGGACAGGTCCCCACTCCCTGGGCACCTCTCGCCGGTGCTCAGCGATGGGGTCCTGACGCCACAGCAGGTGGCCGAAGACCTGGAGATGGACCAGGACACTATCTGCGGCAGGTACACTCCATCCCCCTGGGACACCACCATGGTGGCATCATTCTCCGGTGCCAGCAACATCCCTGCTGTGTCCCCCACAGCCCCTCAGCACCGACCATGCCACGGTCCTTCTCACCGCTGCACACCTACGGCTACATCTACGGGCCACCAGCCTCCGAGCTGGGTGAGGAGGAGGAGGAAGAAGAGGAGGAAGAGGAAGAGCGGCCGGCAACAAGAGGCTCACCAGGGGGATCACTGCTGAATGGCTGGGGGTCTGTCTCAGAGGACAACTTCGCCAGTGCTCGCTGCAGCTTGGTGAGCTCCTGTGATGGCTCCTTCCTCCTGGACGCCAGCTTTGCCCGGGCGCTGGCGGTGGCCGTTGATGGCCTCTGTTTCAGCCTCGAGGACACTGATGGGAGCTATGGGGGTGAGTGAAAGGTTCCCCCACCCTAACCCTGAGCATCATCACCTCCTCAGGGAAGGTGGCCCCATCATGACACCATGGTAGTACTACCATCTCCTGCCATCTCATCCCAGTAGGTCCCTCACCACCACCTTCACCTTTGGACGGTGTCTTCTCACCTGAGGTCCCCACCCCCACCTGGGACTGGGGGATGGCAGTGGGAGTGCCATGGAGACATGGGATGGAAGCAGCTGCAGGCATCCCACAGCATGGTGAGTGGTGCCCTGATGCAGGGGTGATGGGCACCAGGAGTGGTGCAGAGTATCACCCACTGCAGAGTGCTAGAAAATGTCCCCTTTTCTTTCCAGGTGGCCATGGGATGGGGACTGACAGCCCCTGGGCCAGGGTGGGTGGTGAGACAGGGACAGGAGGAACAGGAGCAGTGCAGTCTGCAGGGTGTAGGATGCGGCAAGGCCAGAGTCCCCTCAGCTCACCTAAAAACCAGCTTTATTAAGAAGTTCCCCAAAAAGGGGCTCTTTGCTAACCAAAGTCACCCACCAAGGTGGGTGTCCTCAAGGTGGGTGGGTGTCCCTCCTTATCCACCATCGGTGTCTTCCCCAAGTGTCCTCACCCTTCCCCAGCGCCCCCATCCTTCCCCAAATTCCCCATCCCTCCCCAGCATCCTCATCCTCCCCAAGTGTCCTTATCCCCTCCAAGTGTGCTTGTCCCTCTCCAGTGTCCTCCTCCTTCCCCAGCATCCTCATGCCCCAACCATCCTCACCCAACCCAAGCACCATCATCCATTCTAAGTGTCCTTGTCCTTCCCCAGAGTCCTCCCGACCATCCTCATCCCCACTGACTGTTCTCATTCCTCCTGACCATCTGCATCCTTCCTCAGCGTCTTTGTCCCATCCCGACCATCCTGGCCCTCCCAACTGTCCTTGTCCCTCCCAAGCCATCTTGTCCTTTCTGAATGTCCTTGTGCCCCCTCCAAATGTCCTAATCCCTCCTAACCATCCTCAAGCCCAGGGTTCTCATCCCTCCTGAGCATCCTCATTCTTCCTCAACTGTCCTTGCTCACTGTCAAGTCTCCTCATCTCTCTCCACCATCCTCAACCCCTGTGACCATCTTCCTCATCCCTCCCTACTGTCCTTGTCCCTCCCAAGCAACCTTGTCTTTCCCAAGTGTCCTCTTCCCCGCAGTGGTTGTCAACCACTGGGTGTTCCAATCCTTCCCCAGTGTCCTCATGCCCCCAAGCACCCTTGTCCCCCCAACATTCCTTGTCCCTCCCCAGCACCCTCATCCCTCTGCAGTGTCCTTGTCCTTCTTCCTCCCATGTATGTTTATCTTCCCAGCTGTCCTCATCCCTTCTGACTATCCTCATCCTTCCCAGCCATCCTGGTCCCTCTCCATCCTCCTGGTTCCTCCCAATTCGTCTTGTCCCCAGGATCCTTGTCCCACCTGAGCATCCTCCTCATCCCTCCCCAGTATCCTTATCCCTCTCCAGGGTCCTCATCTTTCATGACTGTCCTTGTCCTCCCCAAGCATCCTCATCCCACCCAACTGTCCTTGTCCCCAGGGTCCTCATCTCTCCCTGCATCCTCCTCATCCCTCCTGAGCATCCTGGTCCCTCCTCAGTGTTCTCATCCCTAGCAACTGTCCTTGGCCTCCCCAACCATCCTCATCCTTCCCAATTGTCCTTGTCCCCAGGGTCTTCATCCCTCCTGAGTATCCTTGTCCCTCCCCAGAGTCCTTGTCCCTCCCAACTGTCCTTGTCTTCAGGGTCATCCTCCCTCCCTGAGCACCCTCTGCATCCCTCCCTGAGCATCCTCATCCCTCCCAAGAGTCCTTGTACATCCTGACTGTCTTTGTCCCACCCCGAGCATCTTTGTCCCCACCTTGCACTGCCACCCACCAGCCACTGGCTCTGCGCAACCCTATTTACATGGTGCCACTCAGAAATTAAAGAGCATCCTCCCTGTCCCCATTGTGTCCCCATCCCTGCGTCCCCAACCCTGCCGCCAGCTTGCCCTCTGCTTCATTGCTTCTCCTGTGATGAGCAGGGAAACGGGGGACCCGGGCGGCGGCGATGGTTGGTCCCTTCACCGCGGTCCCCCAGTGTCCGGCTGCGCCCTGAACCGTGGCCGCGGGAGCCGGTGGAGCCACGGGATGAGATGCTGCCCGTTGTGGAGCAGCTGCCGGACGCTTGACCCCGGGGCAGGCAGGAGAGTTTCCCATAGGGGGTGACCTCGTCTGCAAGGGAGGGGACAAGGTTGGGGCTGGGGGATGACACCCCCCCAACCCCTTTGGCACAGGGCTGGTGGCTCCAGCCTACCCCTGCGGTGTGGGCGATGGGTGACCTTGCGCTCAGCCCCGCTCAGCTCCCGCTCCAGCGAGGGGCTGGGGGTCTCGCCCGGTGGCGGCAGTGGCGGTGGTGGCAAATCTGTGTCAGAGAGGGAGAAGAGGGCTGAGCTCCCATGGACCCTTCCAAACCCCCCTCATTTCCCCCCCACCCCACTCACCTCCTGGCTGCTTTTCCCGGTGGTAGCGGCTGCATTTGGGCTTCAGGCGGCTTTTTGGGGTCTCCCCACGGGTTTTCCCTGGGGGTGATGGCAGCATCAGTCCCCCCCCAGCTGGTGAGACTCCCGCCCACCCAAAATGACTACCCAGGGCTCACCTGTGCCAAGGGGGCGACGGGCTTGCGGTCGGTGGCCCTCGCCGTCATCTGGACTGGGCAGGGGGCTGGGTGCCTGCAGGGGGGTAGCGGCGCCGTGTGGGGGTCTCCTGGCAAAGACGGGGTGTGGGGTGAAGCCACGGGTGGGGAGCAGGGTGGGGGGCTCGGTGCCAGCCGTTGTGCTGGCAGGATGCCCCTGGCACCACACTGTGCCAGAGCAGGGGGAAACTGCACTGCGGTGACACAGCTGGATGGCAATGGGTGGGTTGAAGTGTCACAGCTGGATGGCACGGCCACAGCTGGATTGCAACTGCACAGCTGGACATGTGCAGTGGCACAACTGGGTGAAGGGCCACAGCTGGACAGCAGGGCCACAGCTGGGTCACAGCTGCACCACAGGGTTGTGATCGCACAGCTGGATAACAATTGCACAGCTGTATTGCAAACGTATAGCTGGGCTGCCAGCTGCGCAGCTGGATCACAGCACAGCTGGATTGCCATCACACAGCTGGATTGCAATGGTACAGCTGGCCCCTGATGCCACTGCTGCATAGCAGTGCAGTGCCAGTATGGTGATGGCACAGCTGGATTGCAGTGGCACCGCTGGATCATGGCAGAGCTGGGCCACAACAGCACAGTTGGATGGCAATGTCCCAGCCAGCTGGTGACAGCGCAGCCACATCGTGGTGGCACAGCTGGATTGTCAACCCACAGTGTTACAGATGGTCATGATAGTATGGCCGAACAGCAGGGATGGATGGTGACAACATGTATGGATCATAAAGGGACATTTGTACCATGGACCCCAATGGGACATCTGGAACCCGGACCATGATGGCACAGCAGGGCCAGACTGTGACAATATGAATGGATTGTGATGGGACACCTGGACCACCATGGAACATCCCCTATGAGACATCTACACCCCAGTGTCACAGCCGGACCATGATGGCATGGCAAGATCAGATTGTAACAACATGACAGGATCAGGATGGGACACCTGGACCATGGTGGGACATCCGGACCCCAGTGGACATCCGGACCCCAATGGCATGGCTGGACCAAGTGAGACATATCTCCTACCGGAGCGGGCCAGAGCTATCAAAATCACGGAGGCAAGGGATATCCTCGGTGGCATGTGGTGACGGCGTCAGCGTGGCAGTGGACTGGCAGGCAGAGGAGGCAGCAGGCGAGGATGCGGCAGTGGCGCAGGGGACATGCTCACTGGGGTACCACTCCTCTGTTCCCAACCTGCAGGGTGGGGGCCACAGGGTGGGTGCTGGGGCCAGCATGTCCCAGCCCCCTGAGCCCTCAAACTCACCCTCCAGCTGCCTCTTCCTCTTCATCCTCCTCTTCCTCCTCCTCCTCCTGGGTGCACTGGCTGAGCTCGCTGGCCGAGGGTGGTGGGGGCAGCAGCTCTGTCCAGCTCACCGCTGGTGGTTTCACCGCTTGTCCCAGCTTCTTCCTTTTGGCCCCTGCGGCAAGGAAGGGTGCTAGGGTTGGGCTGCAGGGAGGGGACCGTGCCACCTGTACCCGTGTGTCTCCCCACCTGTACCTACATGTCTCCCCACCTCTACCCATGCATCTCCCGACCCATATCCATGTGTCTCCCCACCTCTGCCCATGTGTCTCCCCACCCATATCCATGTGTCTCCCCACCCATCCCACTGCCCTACCATGCTCAGCCCGGCCATGGGGTGCCTGAGGGGCCGGGGCATCCATCGGCTGGGGACCCCCCCCAAGGTAGGGGGTCCCATGCTGCGAGAAGGGACGGGGGAAGGTGCGGAGCTCCTCGCCCCCTGCCTCGATGGTGCTGTACACTGGCCCCTCGCTGGTCCCTGCCCCAAACTGCTCCGTCTGGGCGATGTAACGGGTGATGCCAGCCTCTGCAGAAGGCCACCAGCACCATCAGCGTTGACCGTGACCTCCCCTGGTCCAAGTCCCCCATCCCTATGATGACCCCTCACCATTGTAGTATCTCTCGGTGGTCCCCAAGCAGCCAGAAGCACCGGCCACGCCGCTGCCTCGCCACATGTCTGCCAGCCACGGGTAACCCCCAGTGGCAGCCGCCCTGCAAGGAGAGGGGGTGAAGGGGTGCCAGCAGTGCTGGGGGGTCCCCAGGGAGAGGGGCGGGGAGGGGGGATTACCTGGGGCTGCCACGCGCCGGGGCTGGGAAGGTGACTGTGGAAAGAGGTGGGGGTGAGGGTGGCAAGGGGCCATGCCTGGTCCCCGCAGGACCTCTTATAGGCTTACCGGTGGGTGTATAGGCGAAGGACGCTGCAAAGAGAGAGGCAGTGGGTGGGGTGATGGGTGCCAGGGTGATGGGTGCCAGGGTGATGGGGGTCCCAGGTGTTAGCACCCACCCGCCCCCCGTACCAGCAAAGTGGCTCAGCTCCTTATTCCTCCGGCGGCGACTGTAGAGCCACGCGGCGAAGGCGGCGAGGATGACCCAGCAAGCACCACCGACGCCGGCGATGAAGGCCGGCCTCCTGACCACCTCAGCCAAATGCTCGGCCATGCTGGTCCCCCCCACCGGCCCTGCACCCTGCTCGGCCAGGGGGGCTGCAAGGGACATGGAGAAGGGGGACATGCTGGCAGGGGTGTCAAGGAGCCATCCCCAGCACTGAGGGGTCCCCTGCCCCCCCGCCACCCCTGGGTGTGGGGGTGGCGAGGAGGGACTCACCGATGCGGATGGGGACGGGGGCACTCCGGGCGCCCACGCCAGCACCAGTGGCGGCAGCGACTTCTGCGTGGTAAGGGACACCCGGCACCAGTCCCTGCAGCACCGTTGCCAGCACCGTCCCCTCCACGCTCTGGTTGATGTGGAAGCGGCTCTCATTGCCCAAGCACCAGATCTGGGGGTGGGGGGTGGTGGGGATGGAACACAATGGGGTTACCCATGGGGGACACACCATGACATGGCGTCATGGCGGGGGGGCAGAGGGGACCCACCATGTCCCCATCACCACCTGCCCTTACCCGGTAATCGCGGATAACGCCGTTCTGCTCGGCCAGCGGCGGGGGCTGCCATGAGATGCGGACGCTGGTGCCATTACCAGCCACGCTGACAGCTCGTGGCGGGGCGCTGGGGGCTGCGGGGGGGGACACACATGTGATGTCACCTCCAGAGGGTCCTCCGCCATCCCCTCCGTTCCCCACACTCACCTGCTTCGGGGGTGCGCAGGGCTCGCACGGTGCTGTCGGGGCCATGGAGTTGGTAGAAGTAGGGTCGGACCTTGACCTCGTAGTCCTGTCCCCGGCGCAGCTCGGTGAGCAGGGCCTCCCGCTCCCCTGGCGCCCGCGCTGCCCGCGCCTCCTCCCAGCGCCCCCCGCGCCGCCGGAACAGCACCCGGTACCCCTGGACGAGGGGGGCTTGGGGCTCCACCTGGGGGACCCAAGGGGAGAGCGGGGTGCTGGGGGTGGTGCTGGGCACCGGGAGCCCCGTACCGGCGGTGCGGAGCAGCACTCACAGTCCAGGAGAGGCGGACGGCACCCAGGGGCAGCACCACAGGCTCCTGGAGGTGCACGACCACTTGGGCCAGCTCCCGCTGCACCTGCTCAGGGTCCAGCCCTTCCTGTGTGGGGCTGGCATCTGCTGGAGACAGGAGAAGTGGCGGATCAGTGGGCACCTCCATCAGCATCTCCAGGCAGGGATGCTCCCAAGGGTGGTGGGTTCATGGACACCATCACCACTGGGTCTCACCTTGGGTGCGCACAGGCTCTGAGACACCACTGGGGTCGCTGAGCCCGTAGGTGTTGACTGCCCGCACCAAGAAGAGGTAGACTGTGTCGGGGACAAGGCCACTCACTGTGTACGTCTCACCCTCCACGTTGGCTGCCACCGTCTGCCAGGGTCCACCTGCTGCCTGGCTGCCAGGGGACAGGAATGATGCAGTGGTGGGGTGGCACCGAGCCACCACATCACCCCTGCAGCTAGTGAGGATGCTTGTGTGATACCTGAAAGCCTCCACAATGTAGGAGGTGACATCAGTGGCACTGCTGTCCTCATTCCCTTTCCAGCTCAGGGTGACGCTGCTTTTGGTGACGTTGGTGACCATGGGGGTGGAGGGTGGCCTGGGAAGGATGCCAGGCTCAGGGGACAGTGGGGAAAGGCTGGATCCTTCATCTGTAGGGAGATGTATGGAGATCTGGGGTGGCTTTACCCCTGGTGCCACAGTGTACCCGGCGCAGTGACGTCCCTGTGACCCACCTTGCACCTTCAAGGAGCTGCCCCAGAGTGTCTTGCCTGCCGAGCTGGTGGCCACACACTCGTAGTGCCCAGAGTCCGTCACCTGTGAGGGCAAGAGCT